AAAGGTGTGACAAGGAAAAGCAGCCATTCTAGGAACGAAAAATAGGAATGGCTTGGTTAGACGTGTGCTCTTTGAATTTTCTGTATTTCCTTTTATTTTCTTATTTATTTGGAAAGCAAAGGCACATTCCATCTTTGATAAGGGAAACTCCCACATCATCCATTCCCCCAAACCTTTTGCCTTACTGGCCTATAGTTTCTGAGAGAAGCCTAATACTCATAGGACGTGAGGTAGCTAGATTAGGGGTAAGGGTTTGGGGGAGGTGGGGGGAGGTGTTGTCTTCCCAAATGCCTGCCCTAACGGAAATCGGCTGGCAGGGTCACAATAACAGTGTTGGAAAGAAGTCCGGCACACTAATCAGACACCTATGGGGGAATCCAGAACTGAGCCTGCTCAAAACTCTCAACCACACCTGAGTTTGGTAGTGCCCAGGAATCACAAAGTTATAAACATAATCTATTGGGGTAGGTCTATGCAGCCTTGATTGGCAAAGTGAAGAATTAGGCCTTCCCTGTGCAGGCCAAGAGAAGTCCATGGAGGGTTCTGGGTAAGGGAGCCAATATTGGCAGAGGAGGAAACTGGCAAGACAACACAGAGTGACTTGGGAGGAAAAGATTGGGAATGAGGGATCCATTTGTGAAGTTGTATGATGATTCCCAGCTTAATTCACATATTCTTTTATTTACTGGCTATTTGTTGTTCCTGTCTGCCGCTGCACAGTTTAATGAAAACTAAAACAGTACCTGTGTCTGTCTGGGACAAGCTCCTGGGGGCAGAGATACCGGTACATGGGGGAGGGAATTCATAAGCAAATGCTTGTGGAAGTTTTCCCGGCCTTTGAGTGCCAGCTCTGACGGCTGACCCACCTCAGCTTTGGACACAGAAACTGAGAGGCCAGGTTTGGGGAAGGGTACCTCACGGAAGGGGACACAGCACTTTTGTACCTTTGTCTACTTTATCTTCTCAAAACAACCGAAGATGTTGATTCAAATTAAAGGGGCCATCTAATATTTGTCTCACCTGTCTGCTTGGGGGCTGGATCCCTGGTAGCCTAGTGGGTTAGCATTGGGCTGCTAATTTTGAGGTCAGTCATTTGAAACCACAGCCCTAGAGATAGATGAGGCTTTTTACTCCCTTAAAGATTTACAGTCTTGGAAACGCACAGGTGCAAATCTACCTTGAACTTTGGCATTGTATGTGTGGTTTTTTTTGGTTGGTTGGTTGGCTGGGAAAACTGGGAGAGCCTGCCCTCTGGGCTAACTCTGAGATGTGAATACCCTTCAGCCTAGGGAACTCCTTGCTGAATACCCAGAAGTTGAGCTCTGAGCGTGTAAGAGACTGGACCCGGACCAGCAGCCAGAACAAAGTATTTTCTTATCTTTCCATCTCTTCCAGGTTGGTGCTTAATTTTTCCCTGGCAAAAGCTGAACCTAAGGGGCGTGTTAGAGTGTTTTATGAAGGGCTTGTTCCTCTGTGGACAGCTACGTAGCCAATAGGAGTTCCCCTTTGCGGGCAGAGAAGTCTGCAGACCCTCAGCCTGGGTGGTGAAGCCCTTCTGTGAAGCCCTGCTGGCGAATGCCACGTGGCAATGAACGGCTGGGAGGATTGCACTGCGGTCATTCATTGACCTGAAAATGACACTGGAACCTGATTTCTGAGAAGTCAGGCAGCCTGATTGTACGGTGCAGCCTGGTAAATGATTAAATGATTAAATGATCTACTCCAAGGCCTGGTAAAAATTCGTCAGGACACACGGCGACAGTGTAGCCACTGTGAAATAAGGAGCAGAGGCCACTTTTCTAAGTCCAGGAGGCGGCAAACATGGATGGGTTTACAAGGAAAGTGACTTCTACCATGTTCCCTGGTTGAACCCAGCCATGCTAAACGCCACGAGGATGAGCCCGCATCCTCTCGTCATAAGCAGGAATCACTTCATGGATGTGGTGGAATGGGAGCAAGCTGCCTCCCAAGAGTTTTCTCGAATGTTTCCCGATTTGCTCCTCCCTCTAAAATTCCTCCTTTCAGCTGAATGCAATCATGATTTGGAAAAGAATCACACTCCTATTTTAAAAACTGGTCGCCATCAAGTTCATGCTGATTCATGGCGACCCCATGTGTGTCCAAGTGGAACTGTGCTCCACAGGCTTTTCAAGGAATATTATTTTTCTGAAGTAGATCACCAGGCTTTTCTTCCGAGGCACCTCTCAGTAGACTCGAACCTCCAACCATTGAGTTCGCATAGGAGCACGTTCATTCTTTGCATCAACCGGGGACAATGACCATTTCTTGAACTGACCATTTCTAGGATGTGCCAGTTATTCTACACAGGCTGTCTCCGCTTAATTTTTACCACTATATTTAATGTTCGAAGACATTAACCCTGAGAATAAAAAAGATAAAGGTCACGTAGCTGAAAATGAGTCTGGTTGTTAAACCGAGGTCTGCCCGTTGCCACTGTCCACATTTATACAAATTCTGACTTACTCAAGGCAACATCCGGTTCATTTTCACTCACTGACTAAAGCTAAACCAAAGTCCCTGCCACAGCGCCAATGCTGACTCATGGTGACCCTGTAGGACAGGCTGGAACTGTGCCTGTGGGTTTCTGAGACTGTGACTGTTTATGGAGGAGAAAGCCAGTCAGTCTCTCCTGTGGTTGACCTTACAGATCACAACCTAACGTGGAACCACTCCGCCACTAAATGAAAGAAGCGGTAAATTTAGACTCTGCAAACATGTATATTTCCAAGAAAGCGAGATCCATTGAGTGAATTCCAACCCATAGTGACCCTATCGAGGGGTTCTGAGATCATACGTTTTTGTGCGAGCAGATAACCTGATGGTGGATTTGAACTACTGGACTTTATGTTACCAGCC